GATTGCAAAAAGCCAATGTCTAGCGAAAAAACTGTCATGTGGGGTAACTGTCTAGTGAGGCACCACTGTATACCCAGCTCCTGGAAAACAGCCACTGTAGTCCCATTTTATAAGAAGGGCAACAGAGAGGACCCGTCCAACTACAGGCTGATTAGTCTGCTAAACATCATAAGCAGGGCACCTTCTGGATACATTTTTGGATTGGATTGAGCAAGAGAACGTCATAGTGGCAGAACAAGCAGGGTTTAGGCCAGGGAGATCGGCAATAGATCAATGCCTAGTTATTCAACATCTCATTGAGAGACTAGGGGTACAACCTCCCTTTAGGCAGCCTTAGCATTCATTGATTTTAAATGGGCATTTGACTCCATATCTAGAATGCGACTCTGGGATAAACTGACAAAGTTCTCTATAGATAGAAGACTTCTGGGTCTTATAAGGGCCTTAGACGAAGAAACATATCCAAGGGTTAGATGCACATTGGCTTTGTGATTCCTTAGAACTCACTAAAACTCAAGTTACCGTATTTTTTGCACCATAAGACACACTTTTCCCCCACAAAACAGGGGGGTGGAAAGTCTGTGCGTCTTATGGAGCGAAGAAAACAGATTATATTTTCCTGTTTTCTTCTCCTAAAAAATTGGTGCGTCTTATGGAAAGGTGCGTCTTATGGACAAAAAATACCGTAGGCAGGATTCTTCGGTTTAACTCTCCATTTAGGCTCGGTTCCTGACTCACTGCTTCTGCTCTTTCCAGAGGCCTCTGATGGGCCGTTATTTGGGGAAATGGGATGGTAGGAGATCGAGCTCATTAGTATGATCCAGTAGGATTCCTTGGATGTTCTTTGGTCTGTTTCTTCATTTGAATTATTTTTACCCTGCCTTTATCCTTAAAAGGACCCAAAGCTTACAACAGTTAAAAGCTAAAACAAAGTGCGTATACAAATATCTAAAAAGAATTAAACAGGTATTGCATTTCAAATAGTCAATAAAATCAATACTGAAAACATATTTTTTATTTTTTAAATTAAATTACACAACATAAGCCTACTACCACACAGTAAAAAACCCACAATAAAATGCAATTACATATCACATAGTGCCACCATCACCTTCAAGGGCTAGCATTAAACTTCATTCAATCCATTTTCTCTCCAAAAATTGTTTCTTCCCTCGGTGTACAGTGGGGTCTTGACTTAAGAACGGCTTGAGCTAAGAACATTTTGACTTAAGAACCACTCTCATAGGAAAATATTGACTTGACTTACATACTTAGATTTGAGTTAAGAACTGAAAAAAACCCACGTGGGAGGCAGGGAAAGTGCAAAATTGGAACTTTCAGTTAACTGTTGGCCAGTGAAAAGGGTGCCTGTCTGTTTCCTCACTCCTCCCAGCGTTAAGAGAGTGGATTGGGAGACAGCCTTCAGACTGCCTGGTACTGCCTGGACTGTATTTTCCCTGCCTTCCCCGAACCTTTCTTGACCTAAGAAAAAAAGAAACAAAATATCCCCCTCTAGTGGTCGAAGACAGAATAGCAGCTTCCCATTAGTTTCTATGGACGGAAAAGAGCAGATACGGGTCAAATGGTTTTCAATGCATTCCTATGGGAAATGCAGATTTGACCTGAGAACTTTTTGACTTGAGAACCGCCTTCCAATACGGATTAAGTTCTCAAGTCAAGACCCCACTGTATGCCCTTCCCTCTCCAAAATACATATTCTAAGAATACACTCCATATTTTCTTAAAATCATTATTTTTTGATTGCCAACTTCTTATTTTCATATCACATGTCAGTTTCCATTCTGAGTTACAATAGACTGATCTTCCATACATTTTGGGAAGTGCTAGACTAGATCCAAGTGACAGCGGCCTGGGATCCTAAGGGGAGAAAGAATTTTAATATTTCTTGCTTCCCTGCAGATCTTCAGAAGAAGGTCTTCGTTTTCCCGATAGAATCAAACAACTCTGCTGTGTTTTTGAAGGCCCCGCTCCAGCAGCCGCTGACCGGTTTCACCGTGTGCCTGAGATCCTACACCCTCTTGACCCGTGGATACGGCCTCTTCTCTTATGCCACCAAGAGAAACTACAATGAAATCCTCCTCTACAAGGTCGACCCAAACGAATACAGACTTTATGTGGGAGATTCCGCTGTGACCTTCAGCCTTCCGGAAAAGCAGGGCTCAAAATCTAATTGGGAACACATCTGTGTGAGTTGGGATTCTGCCACGGGGTTAGTGGAATTGTGGGTGGACGGCCGTCCTTTGCCACGAACGGGGCTGAAGAAAGGTTACTCCATCAATCCCGAGGCATCGATTGTCCTTGGGCAAGATCAGGACTCCTTTGGAGGTGGCTTTGCTACCAAAGAGTCATTTGTGGGAGAGATGAAGGATGTGTACATGTGGGGCAGGGTGCTGACTGCTAACGAAGTGAATCTTGTCTGGAACGACATCAGAGTTGATAACTGTCTGATTAACTGGAAAGACCTAGATTATGAGACCAGAGGTTATGTGGTTCTTCAACCTTCCTTGTTTCCGAGGTACTGATTGAGGAAATGTTCTTCTCTCTCTCTATCTTAAAGCAGTCTAAAAATTGTACAACACTAATTCAGTAAAGGTTGTTATGTCGATTTCAATGACCTTAAGACTTCGATGGACAAACTGTCAGCGTATTCTTCCAATAAAACTTTAATTTTGTTTCATTTACTATTGATAAGAATTTATACGAATCTCATCAAACAGAAATTCAACGAAGAATTTTGCAATATTTTCCATAGTAAACATGGCTGTCCTTGATGATTTTTTAAAGATGGATTTGAGAAAAATAAAATCTAGCATATTTTACCTTAACTGAGTGCTTAATTATTACAAATCTGTCTCTTTCTGAGAGGATCTACAGATGTATAAAGGGTGTTTTATAACCCTTTCTTAGAATTTTGTTTCAGTTGGTTTTGAAAAAATCTGGTAATGTTAATTGTATTTCTGTTTGGGATAGAGAACTATAAGATGAACAAATAAGACAAAGAAATAGAATACTTTATTACGATCAACAGATCAGATGTGAATAACACAGAACAGCCGCACAAGAATAAACAGAATCAATAAAACTATAATATACATTATGAGCAGCAGACTCTTGGGGGAACAAATTCCATAAATAATTGTTAAGAGCATTACCCCTACCCCCAGTTCATACATATTCATATACACATACATACATACATGTACAGTGGTGCCTCGCATAACGATGTTAATTGGTTCCAGGAAAAAAAAACGTTATGTGAAAACATCGTTATGTGAAGCACCGTTTCCCATAGGAATGCATTGAAAACCGGTTAATCCGTTCCAATTGGAACGGATTATCCGGTTTTCTGCCACACCCCACGGCTTTGATCTGACCCACGGTGGCTACCTCAGCCATGGCTGCTGGCAGACCAATGTCCATCAGTAACAATTAAAGTGGCCAGCTTCTCTGCAGCAGCACTAGTCTGCAGGCGAGAAATGGTGCCTTAATCCTGTACATATATACAGTGGCATAACGAGCGCCCCGTTTAACGAAAAAATCGCATAGCGATGGCTATCCCAAGGCCTCCTTTAGCTCTACCTCCCCTGGAACTCGGTTCGGCTTTCAGTGTACAACTTGTGAAACCATCTAGCTCCAGGTCTTTTGTCTCCCAAAAATCTCTTGGAGGCATCCTATATCAATTCCACAGCATACAAAATGATTATATCCGCTGACCGTTAAGACCACAAACATTTACATATACAGTACATTAAAATGCACAACAAAATGACATAACAGCGGTAAGATTGTACGTCTGATAACCATACAGACTCTAATCAGCTCCATATTCTATACCATATCTCCAGTACTTCCTATTCTATCATTATCATTCAGACAGCTATCCCTTAATTTTTTCGCTAGCCGTCCAAACGTGGCCACTCTCTTTGTTACCTCCTTATTCCTATCTTCCAAAAGCTTCTGAAGGAGTTCCTTTCTATCTCTGCCATCCAAAGAAGGTATACAGTGGTGCCTCGCACAACGGGTGCCTCACACAACGATGAATTCACACAACGATGCATTTTTCTGTTAAATTTGCCGCCTCACACAGCGATGTTTCCTATGGGGGATTTTCACACAACGATGTCTCTTTTTTGTTCCTGTAAAAGTGTCTTACAATGTTTGGAAGCTGTTTTAAATGCTTGCACTGGTTAGCCCACCTCCTGAACCCTATGCAAACTGATTTTGGTGTTGTTCTGACACTTTGTTAATTTATGATGACTTTTTGTTTTCTCCATTGGAAACCATTAGACAGACCATTCAATGGTTTTCAATGGAGAAAACAAAAAATCATCATAAATTAACGAAGTGTCAGAACAACACCAAAATCAGTTTGCATAGGGTTCAGGAGGTGGGCTAACCAGTGCAAGCATTTAAAACAGCTTCCAAACATTGTAAGACACTTTTACAGGAACAAAAAAGAGACATCGTTGTGTGAAAATCCCCCATAGGAAACATCGCTGTGTGAGGCGGCAAATTTAACAGAAAAATGCATCGTTGTGTGAATTCATCGTTGTGTGAGGCACCCGTTGTGCGAGGCACCACTGTATACCTTCTTTGGATGGCAGAGATAGAAAGGAACTCCTTCAGAAGCTTTTGGAAGATAGGAATAAGGAGGTAACAAAGAGAGTGGCCACGTTTGGACGGCTAGCGAAAAAATTAAGGGATAGCTGTCTGAATGATAATGATAGAATAGGAAGTACTGGAGATATGGTATAGAATATGGAGCTGATTAGAGTCTGTATGGTTATCAGATGTACAATCTTACCGCTGTTATGTCATTTTGTTGTGCATTTTAATGTACTGTATATGTAAATGTTTGTGGTCTTAACGGTCAGCGGATATAATCATTTTGTATGCTGTGGAATTGATATAGGATGCCTCCAAGAGATTTTTGGGAGACAAAAGACCTGGAGCTAGATGGTTTCACAAGTTGTACACTGAAAGCCGAACCGAGTTCCAGGGGAGGTAGAGCTAAAGGAGGCCTTGGGATAGCCATCGCTATGCGATTTTTTCGTTAAACGGGGCGCTCGTTATGCCACTGTATATATGTACAGGATTAAGGCACCATTTCTCGCCTTCTTATGGCTGTGTTTGATGCACATATACGAACCTGTAATATGGCTCTTAGAAATTTTGACTGCTGTCTTTCCAGAACAGTCAAGTTAGCTGGTATACTAAATGGGGCTCCGTAGATCATCTGTGCTAATGATTTCATCATATAAAGTGGAATAGCAGCTGTCACATTTCTTCCCCCCCCCCACCTGCGTCCAGAAAATCTTTTGTATAGCTCCCATGCTTTTGGGGGGCATTTGTTATTGCATGTTTTATATGTGCATTTCTTCTAGATTACTATTGAATATAGGCTCAGGCACAGGTACATGAATTAGCTCAGTTGCTTCCAGTTGTAAGAAGCTGAAAGAGCTAGCTTTGGCCGTGGCTTTGTCAGTAAGTATTATTATGTCCCTACTGGTTAAGTCTGGGCATTCTTGCAAAATTCTGTCCTGTTGTGGCTTAAGTCACATGCTTGAAGATGTACAGTATTTGCTGGTTAGTTGAACTTGGTTAAGATCATTTGAATGTACAGTACCTGGTGGAACATCCATAGTGGGTTGTTTGGTAGTTGTGTTGGACGGGCAGTTCTTAAAAGGTGAAGGGTTGTAGTCTAAACCAGTGGTTCTTAACCTTGGGTTACTCAGGTGTTTTTGAACTGCAATTCCAAGAAACCCCAGGTGGTGAGGGCTTCTGGGAGTTGCAGTCCCAAAACACCTGAGTAACCCAAGGGTAAGAACCACTGGTCTAAACTATTTCCTTTATTTAAAAGGGGGCAGATCTTTTCCTTGTTCTCCTTCTCTGCTATTCCTTGGATGTTTCTACCTTGAAAAAGTCCACTCGTCATTGCCATGTCATTATCAGAAACTTGGAGGTGAATAAGGGTATCTTTCAGGGGCAAGTAAGCAAGGTTCAAGATAGCAGGACAGTGGACGTGAGCCAGAGAATGGAGTTGTTGTTTCCACAGATCAATTATAGAGGAGCAGCAAGCAACAAACGCCGAGAGGCCTTGAATCCGATGTCCCTCTGGCAAGTTTGCGTGCGAGCTTCGGATCTTCGTGTCTCGAGTCTCTGCCTATGCTTGTCCCTCAATTTGGCTACTGGGGTTGGAGAATCTGGTGGTGATTCCGTTCTCTGTGCTTTTAATTGCCCAACTGAAAATAACACCTCAGATGCCAAATTTTCTTCGGCTGATCTCTCTCGGTCCTCTTGTGCCGGTAGGAGCGATCCACCTTGGAGGAATAAAAAGAGACACCCTGTTACAAGATGGGGGGAGGATACGTGGATTCATGAGAAAACGAGAAAAAGAGAATCAAAGAAAATACTGATTGTTAATATTTACGTGCCAAGTGGAGCTCAATAAACTGATTAAAAAACAACTGCAATTAGAAATAATAAAGAAAGACTATGACTATTACTGTGTGACAGGGGGTTTTAATGCTGTTTTTGACAAAGAACTGGATACAAAAAGACAAATTAACAAAAAAAAGAGAGAGCGAGGAATAATCTCAAGAAACTTTTACAATTGGTGGGAAAAATAAATATGATAGATGCTTGGAGGACATGTAACCCAAAGACAAGAGATTATACTTTTTCTTCTAACGGACACAAATCGTGGTCAAGAATCGATACATGTTGGATCTCAACAAGCTAAATGAAAGAATTGGAGCAAATAGACATTTTACCAAATACATTAGCAGACCACAGTCTAATTTCATTACAATTGGGTAACAAATCAAAAGAAATTAACTGGAAGCTTAATACTTCACATCTAAAAAATGAGGAATTTATTAAGAAGTAAAAAAAACACATGGATTTCTTCTTCAAACAGATTTATGAGGCCGGAAACACCAATGACAATGGTTTGGGAGGCAAGTAAGGCATTTTTAGAGGAGTAGAGCTGAATGTATAATTAGATGGGCACAAAATATAGCACATAACATTGATATTGGTCAATGGTTGCAAAGATGGCAACATAATATAAAGCTCACAAAATTGGTTCATTTCAAGGAGAACATATATAAGTTGTTTTATAGGTGGCATATGACTCTGCAAAAAACTATCAAAGATTTATACAGATGTATCAAATGTTTGTTGGAAGTGTGAAGCACACGAGGGAAGTTTTTAATCACATGTGGTGGACTTGTAGAGTAGCGAAGCAATTTTGGATAGGTGTACATACTCTGTTACAAAAAATAATTACTTTCTAAGGTTCCACTAACACCAGAACTGTTTTTACTGAGTATTATACCAAATAATATAAATAAGACAAAGAACTACTTCGTTATATACATAGTCACTGCAGCCAGAATTCTTTATGCTAAGAACGGGAAGAAATCGGTGATACCGGAACAAGAGGAACTTATTGAAAAGTTACAGGAAGCGGCAGAAATGGATCTCTTATCAGAAGTGCTGAAAGACTGTCCAAAACAAAAGGCAACAGAATGATGGGATTTATTATATAAATGAGTCACCAGATAGTATTTCAATAACATAAATTAAAATGAGGACATAAATTAAAATGAGGACATAAGTTCTAACTTACATTTGAGGGCGACTATACAGCAGAAAAATGGAAAGTCGAGTTGATATGGCAACATATTTTATGGTCTCCTCCCCCTGTTTTTTTCCTTTTTCTTCATATCCCTCCCTTACCTTTGGTATAAAGCCAGGAAATGACCCAAAATGGCGGCACAATAGGACGCCCGCGTTGCCAG